GCCAACTTTTCTTAATTTGCCGATTATAGCAATTATGGAATGCGGTTGCCTTTGAAGAACCGCTCTGCAGTTCAAAGACATCAGCAAATCCCAGCTGGATCGATGGGTGGCGTGTAGAAAACCGGAAGATTATAGGTAATTCAACCTACTGAAAATTTGTGAGTAGTTGATTATTCTAGATACGAAAATATCCGACCCTCGATATAACCTCACCGTACTTTTTAAATTTCTCCTTGCATTCATATTTCCTATCATCTTGTTGCCAAAAGGGCGTTCAAAGGTGTTCGCCCATCCTTCCCTCAATAAACCGATATTGACACTGACATTCATCAAAGGGAGAGATAAGACAGAGTGATGCCAAATGAATAGATCGCCTAAGATCAAAGTGCCCGACGTCGAGTGAGATATCACTGATGGCGGCTAGATCAGGTACGATAATAACAGTTGCAAATAGAATAAAAAAGAGATTAACCGCGTTTTAAATTAATGGTGTAAAAAAAAACTTTCCTGCCGCTGGTTGGAGGTTGACTGTGTCTGGCTTCTGACTTCTCTGATATGTGGGGCAATACACTTAATATCTATTTTTGGCGACAAATACTTGAACCGTGGGTATTTGAAAAAGGCCTAGTAGATTAGCTTCCGTTTGCTAGCAAGTAAGGCGGGAGGGTAGTATTGGGGCCCTTCAACGACTCAGCAGTTAACTAGGCACCCTAACACTAACCGACTGGGGTATTAGTGGAGAACGAAAGTACGTAAAGCAATGCAAGTCACAAATGTCTATTAAAGTCTTCCGTGACTAGTCAGTGAAACGTTTCAAAGAATGCTTGCTACTTGCTGAGCTAGCACCTGGGCTGGCTACCGAATGAACTTGCGAGGCAAAAGTGAACATCCTTTCAGCATTCGCCCAGGTCCAAAGTCAATCTAACGCGACTTCGAATACGTTGGATGGCAGTCGACATGACGCGAGCTCGTGGCTCAAAGGACGGCACTGTGCTCCCTAACCAACTTTGCGCATATCCAAACCTCAGATCTTCCCGGTTTGCTATTGAGGCAGCACAAATTGGCAAGGACAACTAAGCCAGACATCGGCAATCCAATATCTCAAGTTCACCGGTTACATTTATGGGAAAGTGTAAAGGTCACTGAGAATAATTAGTATATTAAGAAGAACATACTATCTTCAGGGGCCGCATATTGCAAACGCGAAAAGGAATGGGAATGGTATCGACAACGGAGGGATCAGAGGCCGTCATGAGGATCGGTCGTCGGCCCATTTGTAGAAGACTGCCTACAGCGCTCCAAAATCCGCGGTCAGACTCAAACAATACGTCAACCTCGAAAAAGAAGAGGCAAAGGGATAAAGCAATTGAACTTTCACCGTCTAAATGAGAAGCTAGAACATTATCTACAAATGCGGCAGTATAGTGGAACAAGTTGTTGTGTTATTTTTTGATGAACGGCCAGTCAGTCCAGAACAAAACCGAGTGAAAGAGTAAACAATTAAAATGTCTGAAATGCGAAGCGAATGTGAGAAAAGTCGGAAAATATAAGGGACAATAGAAGCTTACCTCGTCAAACAGAACAAGAGATCTGTTGTTCAACTTGAGGCCTTCATTAGCTAAAAGGTGAGACAAACCGGAAATTGTGAGCGTGAATCAGGTCCTTGATACAGGTCTTTTTTGAATACTAATATTATTTTAGGCTAAAAATGAATAAAGTCAGTATACTTCATGTAAATCTACACCTTAATTCACAAGAGCAAGTAAAAAAGCCTAAAATATTACTTAAAAACTAACAGGTTTTTGGGACGGTAGACTTTCTGTGATCGGTCCGTCCAGAAAGGGAGGATGATGAAGAGGATGACTTTTTGGCCGAAGGTTGAAAAAAGTTAGCAATGGAAGGGCGAAAAGACTTTTGGCGCGATTTTTTCTTTTCCTCGGCTTTTCGGAAATGTTCTTTAGAAGGAAAGAGCACACTCGACAATAGTTAAATCCGGATATTTTAAAGGATGTACATATGGATCTAAATTATATGCAAAAGAGTACACACCTTTGGCCATTTCAAAAGAAGTAAAGGATGTGGAGAGTGATTCTGTAGAGACGTGCTGTGAACCTATGAGAGCTGAACACTGCGACAGAACGTCCTTTCGAGAACGACATGAGGACGCATTTATTTCGAAGACCTGCAATGCCAAGGTGAATTAATTGATAAAAATGCAGAAGACTGCATTGAGAACTCGATCATGAAAAGATCTTTATATAATTTGGGATAGGGTAATAGCAGGAGATACAATACATTCTAAATAACTCGACTGCAGAAAAATGCGAGATCTGAAGGATTGGCTTTAGTTGCAAGTTTCAGTTTAATTAAATTATGCAAATAAGTACTAGGTGCGATTCAGCCAATCTTTCTTTACACTATTAGGAGGCAGTAGTGAAAAAATTTCACTTTTAAAGAGGCACATGCAGGAGAAAGTTTCATAGGGGACGTTCCTGCTTTCAGTATTTACTTTGGCGTTAATAAAAGCTGTGGATTAGATACGAAGATACAAAGCGCATTGAAAAAGCCGATCCCTGGTAAAGCGTACCGAGGACGCAGATCTAGAACGACCAATGGCAGCTATTGAAAGGCTATTTTGTACACGGATTTACAAAATAAAAGCCTGTCTACATTAGATAGCAAATAACTCAGCCCAACACTCCAGTTAAAATAGGACCACAAACTATTGTCTTAATAACTAAACAGCAAACAAAACATACCCCCAATCAACAACCCAGTGTAGCTAATTTTTTGAGAGGTCTGATGTGCATTATTTGATGATTCCTGTGAGACCTTTTTACTGCTTGTCCTTGCACGCAAAGGAGTCTACGTGATATTATTAATCCACGATAATGAACTTCTTAAAGAAGAGTGGCGAAAAAATAGTGAAAGAATTTCCCCGAAAGGTAATAGTGAATTTAACATGACCCCCTAGGGTGATTTGGAGAAGCAAGAGGCTTGGAACCCAGTCCAGGCACAAAAACAGTATTACAAAGCTATAAAAAGACGAATGGGCCGGAAAAAATACCTTAAAGGCCAGTTTAGTAGCCAAAGCATATACAAGGGCCGTCTTCCCACAGCCAGAAGGACCTAAAACCAGGAAGGCAGTGGACCGCCAAGGCTTGACTGACGTAGAGGAGTCAGCACTGTCATCACTATAACAGAAGTCCAGGTTTCTGGGTCTGTGGGAGTTACGTTCTACCCTTCTGGCAGACTGATTCCAAGAGGAGCCGTCTCCACTGTCATCATTATCCACGCAGATGGCATCTGGAATGTAAAAATACCAAATCACCTATATGGAGGAATTACAAAACGCACCCTAAGACGTGTCATACGTGAAACAATGTGAAATATGGAACGACAAATGTGATAAATCGGGAATCAATCCACACAAAACTTAGCGCGTGACAAGCTAAACGGAGGATAAGACAATTTGCGAATTCGCGCAAAGCCACCGGGCATTGCTGACTATACAGTATTGCGAAATTATCACTGACTAGTAGATAATAATTAAACAGACACGATAATAAGTTATAGGAAGAAGTTGTAAGAACGGTAATTTGTTAGTCAGAATGCACTGAAACATTTGATAGTCTCAAGATATAAACAAGAGAAACAGCAATGGAGAACAAAATGACATTCTATTTATGAAATTATTTAAACTTGATCCCAAACAGCCATTTTAAACATACCGGAACCCTTGGCATCACTATCCCACGACGACAACCATAACACAAGGTCTTCAATGTCAGGACAGTTAAGCAGCATATCACTCAATGTTGACGGGGCGTAAAGATCCGTCCACAAAACGGTAGATGCAACCGAGGAGCTGGGCGTGGCAGCATCTGCAAGTATTCGTAAAAATTATTAGCGATTAACATATAAAAAGAATGGAATATATGTATATTTCTACCAGAGGTGTAAAAAGCATACTCATACTTTTAAAACATAACCCATAGTTCAAGAGAGTTTTGCTTTTTGTGCTTCGCGAGAGGATCAATAAAATTGTAATACACCCTGAAAGAAGGAAAACCGTGATGATCTATACGGTGTTTACGTCAACTTCAAATCAAGATGACTAGATCAGAATTCCGGACAATTGTTTGTAGGGCCAAACCCCTTGGAATTTAGGTCACGTGCTCACAAGAAGCTGGATGTGATAGGAAAATCGCAAGACATATCAAAGTCCGTTAACTAACACCAACCGGTTGCAGAAGGGGATAAGAGCATGCCATTTTATCATAAGACTATGGTATATAAGTCTCGCTGGCGTAGGTTTGACAGATGCTTTTACCGACCAAAACGTGAGACACCGGAATGACT